TTTGGAATCATAAAATATGTTAAGTAGAATGATGACATAAAGAAGGATTAATTAAATCTCACAGCTTTCACAGAGGAGGTAGTCCCCAAACTATGTAAGTATGTTCTCTGAACCTTGGCATCCGATGGAAATTCGTTCCAGGTCTATTGGGTCTTTCATCAGTAGAATTATACTCTGTATTTGTGTACAAGTGACATGTTCTAATTTATTCATATTAAATGTGTAGGTATTATTTCTGAATCCAGCTCCTAAATTTTGTTTTATGCCTAGATTTCTCCTCTACAGCAGTGAGTCTACTTAAAACATAGTCAAGGATTTTACCAAAATGTTGATATCACCACAGATAACTACAATAGGCTGCTTCTAAAAAACTGATCTAGATAAGAAATGAGAACATTTATTATAACCTCTATCCCATAACTTATATCTTAGTGCTTAATTTGTTAATTGTCATTTCTGACCCCTTTCTTCCATATGCTTTAATTTCTATTTTTCTTCTATATATCATTAAAATTCCACCCTACCCCATCTTCTTTAATGTTCCCATGACGTCAGAACGTTTGAAAGTCTCTGCTTTAAATCACGTAAACTCAAAATCCTAAAATCACCTTTAATTCCTTCCTTTCCTATACACTAACTTTTCCAGGTCTTATAATTTTTCCTTCATTATCACTAGCTCTAGTCATTCCTCTCTTCATTGAGCTGCATTCTTCCATTATCTGGTCTCATATCTAACTCTTGCCAAACCTTCGCTTGTTTCTAAAGTCTTTGGCTCTCTTCTCTTTGATCGTTCTTGCCTACTAGATTGATATTCTTCAAGTACTAGTTTTGTCATGTTACTACTAAACTCAGAAATCTAGAATATAGAAAAGTGGCACAGAGAAGTGGTTAAGAGTATGGACCCTTGAGTGAACTACTTAGAGTCAAATCCCAGTTCCACCACTTACTAGCTGTGTGATCTCCAGCAAATTACTTAAACTTTCTCATTCACTGCCTTCACTTCCTCATCTTGTAGAGTGGATACTTATGAAGATTAAATGAGTTAACATTTGTAAAGTCCTTTAAAAAGTACATAGTAAGCACTAAATTTTAGCTGCTTGTCATTATTGATGCCACTATTATAACTGTAACAATCGAGTGGCTCTCATATCAAATCATTGTCTGCCATATCAAATCAAACCCAGAATTTTTGTCCTCTTATGCTTGGTCTTGATGAAAATGAGGCAGCCAGAGAAGAAGGAGAGACATGGGTTCATGATTAGCTATCCCATAGAATTCTTATGAAAATCACATGAAATATAAACTACACAAAAGCCATATAATCTGGGAAGCACAAAACAAATACTGGCATTTAACAGTTAATAAAAGATACAAAAATCAAGAGACCTCTAGAAACTAAGCTCTCAAATCCAGTAAACCTCAATTGGACCTAGGATTTCAGTGAGTAGTAATAACAGAACCAAGGGTTTAGGATGTCATGGGATCAAAGAATTGGGACTGAGGACATCTCAGTCTCTGACCTTAAAAAACATGAAATTAGAGGGCAGCTAAGTGACATGCAGTTTATCAACAAACATTTGTTGAATGCTTTCTCTTTGCCAGGAACTGTGCTGAGTACTTTACATGTATTCTCTTATTGAATCCTCACAGAACACTCTGAGGTCAGTAGCTTTACTCTATCCATTTTGTAGATGAGAAAAGTGAAGCACCAAAAGGTTTTGCTCAGGGTCACACAGTCACAGATTTGAACTCAATCTGGTTCAAGTACTACACTGTTCTGTGCTACTTTAGGTATTTCCTCCTTGGAAACTCACAGTTCATATTACTTTTTATGGTTTTAAGAACTCCTAAAGGAGTCACCCTGCAACATTTTTTGGAGTCCTAAAGGAGTCAGCAGTTTCCAAACTTACTTAACTTTTTTACTTTATCTGCTCTTTCACCGAAAAAAGTCTGTTGTCACAATTGAGCATAGTTTTAAAAACAATAAATAACAAAACAAAAAAATTTTTCATTCGAACTGAGTTTTCAATCTGACCTAAACCTATAGTAGCTAATGTTTTAGAGTGCCTAGTCTATGCCAGACAGTTTTAAGTGCTTTGCATGTATTAACTCACACCATCCTCTATGAAGTGTAGGTATTGTTTATTAGCCTCATTTTACTGATGAGAACCTGAAGCACAGAAAGGTAAGTAATTTGTCCAAAATCATATAGCTCCTGAAGGCAAAGATGGGTCCACTCCTCCTTCCCATCGACCCACCAGACTGGTTATAGAAGCTATACTATTACGCATGATGCTTTACTGTCCCTTCTGTCTTAAGACCTGGGTTCATATAGACGTGGCTCTTCCATAGTCCACAAGTTATAACTGAAGTCCTCAAAATTTTCATAGTCAAACTCAAAATCTCAAATGTTTTTACTAGGTCCTAGTAAATCTTCGATCTCCTCCCATTTCTAATCCCTCCCCATCCCAGACTATAGCACACTAGACCACTCACTAGTGTCTTCATCAGTCTAGCTTTATAGTAGGAAATACATGTACTCTGTAGCCAGACAGACTTGGGTTCAAATGCAGGCTCCTTCATGGGCTGGGAGTGAGATCTTGAACAAGTTACTTTAATCACTCTGAGCCTCATCTGAAATATGCGATTAACGATAGTAATTTTCTCACACAGTGGTCTTGAGAATTAAATAAAGTGGGACATGTAAAGCTCTTATCTTGGTGTTGTACGTGTGTTTGTTGTGTATTTGTCATTGGCCTCACTGTATTTATTGTTAGCAGTATTAGTATTATTTGCCTATCATTAAAGGATAGGTTTAAATTCTACCTCTTCTATTAAGAATTTCATACTTCCAAAGATTACCTATATTCTGTAATAATTCCTCTTTCTTTTGTAGTCCAGGGCATTTTGCCTCAAATTATGATCAGTTTTTTTCATAATTCTCTTTTCTAGATGGGAAGTTTCTTGAGATCAAGGATTATGTCTTCTGTTGGAATTAACATTGTGTTTTACGTGTGCATGTGTATGCAGTTGATCCTCATTATTCATAGATTTGAATGTACCTACTCACTAAAATTTATTTATAACCCCCAAATCAATACTTAGTGCACTTTCGCAGTCACAACATGCACAGAGCAGGAAAAGATTTGAGTCAGCTAATGCACACATTAAGGAAATATGCTGCAGTCTTTTTTTAACTCTCATACTGTAAGTGTCCTTTTCATGTTCTATTTAGTGCCACATTTTTGTGCTTTTTCTTGATGATTTCACTTAATAAAATGAGCCCCAAGCATGGTACTGAAGTCTAGGGTCCCTAAGTGCAAGAAGGCTGTGATGTACCTTATGGAGAAAATACATGTGTTAGATAAGCTTTGTTCAGGCATGAGGTATATAGCACATGTTGGCTGTGAGTTCATTGTTAATGAATCAACTATATATTGCATAAAGCATCTTTAAACAGAAACAAAAATAAAACAAGGTTACAGTTGATGAAAATGTTGTGCAGAGAGGCTCACAGGAACTTAACCCTGTATTTCCCATAGGAGCAATGGTTCAATATTCACTAATTCAGTGTTGGTAGCAACTTTATAACACCTAACTACCATGAATAATGAGAATTGACTGTGTGTATGTGTGTGTGTGTTTGTGTTTGTGTGTGTGAAAATGTGTATACATAGAAATACAGGTAAGATGCTCCGTAAAGGACTCCTAGAAGAAGAATAGAATGACTGCCCGAAGCCTAGAGCCAGAGATGACCTGTTTTGTTAGGAATGGTAACAATATTTTTATGGTGTTTTATGGGTTTAGGAAAGTACTTAGATACAGTCACATTTTAACCATACAATAACTTTTCAGGTATGATATAATTATCCCCCATTTTACAGATTAGAAAAAAGCAACCCCCAGGTCATTCAACAAATTAAGTGGTAAAACCCAGGATTCTTGATGCCAAGACCCACATTCTTTCCAGTCTACACTACTACTTCACATCTTCTGAGATGTTTTCACCGTAATATAATCAGAATTAAAAGAACATTCTGAAAAACTAAGAACTTTACAGAAGATGTAGAGAATTTCTCAAAGCATTTTGTTTGGGCATCAACTGTTCATACACTTAGATATTCACAGCAATCTCTCTATCTTACCTCCCACAAATGGGTATCCTAATGCCATACTCACTTGAGTCTAAGAAACAAATTTTCTCACATTCTAATATTTCATTTTGTGAAGTTGGGATTTATCTTTTAATTAATTTGTGCATTTAAGTATTTCATAGATAGATAAAAATGATTAATTTATTGAGCAACTTAAATCAGTGATATCTTAGAATAAAGGACTGAAATAATAGTAGCTACTATTTATTGAGTGGCTACTATGTGTCAAGCATTGTACTGGATGCTTTATATACAATATTCACTTAATCATGACAACAGCCCTGTAGCTATTCTTATCCTCACATCTCCGTTTTAGAAATGAGAAAGCTGCGAGTCACAATGGCAGAGGCATTCAGCATTTAAATGGAGGAAGCAGCCTTGCTACCCAGGCCTATCTGTGCTCTTTTAACTATGCCATGCTGCCTTCCATTCTGGACACAAATTTAAATTCCATAAGAATGTGTCACACTTAAATATATTTCTGTTGAGAGATACATACTTAGTGGTCCTTTCTAGACAACATATTAACATAACTCAAAGATAACTTTTCTCAGAATGAATCTGTAGGTTGATCTCTTCTTGCTAGTAACCATATATCATGACTTAAAATCGTGCCTAACTTTCTTGAGTCTTTCTTTTGCAAGTTTTCTGTTAGGTTTTTATATTTGATAGAGATTTTTACATAACCTTCTTTTATTTCCTTTGCATATGATCTTCCATTTGTAATTTACATTTTAGTGCATAACATGGAATCTCTGCTTACTTCGCAGATTTAGCTAGTAAGATAAGCAATTGAGTTTCTTTTTATTTTTCTGTCTTACAGCTGATGGTTGCAGAGAAGAATGGAACAATCCGATTTTATGATCTTTTGGCCCAACAGGCTATTTTGTCTCTTGAATCAGAACAAATGCCATTAATGTCAGCACACTGGTGCTTAAAAAACACCTTCAAAGTTGGAGCTGTTGCAGGAAATGATTGGTTAATTTGGGATATTACTAGGTCCAGGTACTTCTTCAGTATATGTGTCTATTGCTTACCAAAAAATCAGTAGCTATTGCCAAATGATCCATTGGGCCATCCTTGTATACATAAGCCTCACTGTAAAGTGAAAACAAGTCCCTCCTGTAGGAGGGCCAGAGCTATGGGTTTTTATATAACAATCATGTTTTGCAGATTTACTTCGGGAGTAACCCAGAAAGGACAATGCAAAGAAAGAAATCTTTGATCTGAGCAATGTTTACTTATGTTAGAAAAAAGAAAAACACTGACCCTGTTGAGTGATGGTGCTCTGTAGTGATTCTGAGTCATGTCTTTATTGTATTTCATCTATTGTAACTGAATGCTTATTTGGAATTTTGTTATAGTTTACGTATATTGGGCATTCTGTCCTTGAAAGAGAAAATACCTTTTATCTACTTGAATCTAACACATAAAATGCAAAATATTATCTTTTAGTTATCCTCAAGATAAGAGACCTGTTCACATGGATCAAGCCTACTTATTCAGGTAATGTACCATTTTTGTTGGAGTTATAATTTGATATTTTGACATTGTGCTATGTCACTACTGGAATACTTTCCCAGTCCTCTCCTTTGCACTGGATTTTTTTTTTTTTCCTGATTGTTTTATAAGTGGTTATTTTGCTATCCCAACTAAGTCTTTGCTTTTGTCTTTTTGTCTAGACAAGAAGTTGATTTGTTTTTCAAATATTTTCCTTGAACGCTTTTACAACACAGAACAACATGTTGCCACTCCACCAGTACCACCCCAGCATTTTGGAGTACATTATGCTTCCTTATTGTTCTATGCTGATAAATGTGTAAATATAGGGGACCCATGTTTATTCATGTAAACTTTATTGTTGTTCTTTAAATGAGAACATGCTAGATCATATATATCTACAAACATGCTACTTTTTTTTTCACTTAAAATACATGTCTACCATGGTTTTTTTTCCATTCATTTTTTATAATATTCCATTGTGTAGTATTATGAATATTTTGTCTGATGCCTTGTCCGTGTCTCTCACCATATTGTTAGCTCTATGGTTATAAGAAAGGGACTGTGTTAACCTTGCATAACTTTGGAAATTAATGAAGTGACACATAATAGGCACTTTAAAAAATTTACAGAATGAGAAAATATTTATAGCTACTAACCTGGAATTCCCAGTCTAATTGTAAAGCCACGTTAACAAATTTAAGATTATAAAACTACTGCTATTGTGCAAAAAGAAGTAACCTGGTTCAGAAAAGCTTGAAGTTATCTGTAGGGCACTGTATTTATTTTTATGCTTTCCTATTTCTTAGATGGTCCACAATTAATGAAAACTTGTTTGCAACCACTGGTTATCCTGGCAAAATGGCAAGCCAGTTTCAAATTCATCATTTAGGACACCCTCAGGTAATGTGGAACTGTTTTGTGGCATATGCGGTTTTCTTAATTTGTGTGCTTGACTTTTCCACCCACAGCCCCCAAATTTGTAATTTGTCTATTATCTGCTTATATTGAAAGAGAAGGCATTTTTTTTTTTTTTTGTCTTTTGTCTTTTTCCGTGTCCGGCAACGGATCGCAACCCTCAGTGTTGCCCCCGTACCGGACCGGGGACCGGCAACGGGATCGCAACCCTCGGCGTTGCTCCCACGCCTCGCTCAGCCAGTAAGCGGGAACCGGTCGTATGTGGGATCCGAACCCTCGGGCGGGAGCGCCACCGCGCTTCCCAAACGGCGCACTATCCAGTGCGCCACCGGGCCGGCCCAAGAAGGCATTTTTTGATGTTTAAATCACCAGTAGCAATGGACTTTGTTTGCCAATATTCATATAAGAAGCATTTCGTTTCTTCAGTTGCTTTTATATTTTCTCTTTCACTTAAATATATTAATTTAATTTCACTTGCTTGGTTGATGTAGACTGCAAAAATGTTTGAGTCTGGGCTGCAACAGTTATTCTTAGATGGATTGTGTCCTTCTTTCTGGCCAGCTGCAAGTAAATAATTTGTAGATCACCTCTGAGGGAACATATTTTTTTAACTATGTATCAATGCTTTCTTATTTTTGAAAGTAGTTTTTATTTATTAACTTTGGAGATATATTGTACTTCTTTAATTCTTCACATATTTTATAGCCCATCCTCATTGGTTCTGTAGCTGTTGGATCTGGCCTTTCCTGGCATAGGACTCTCCCACTGTGTGCAATTGGAGGAGACCACAAGCTGTTGTTTTGGGTGACTGAAATGTAAAATAAATTTTCCCTTACCTTAGATTTATAAACTTTGTGTTTTTCTTACATATCTTGGAGAACTCCATATTTTTGTATCAAATATACTGTAAGCTCTAGAAATGTCTCAGTTGTTGCTTTTCTAAATAAAATAAAATGTTGATGGTTTGAAATATTTTCTTATTCTGTTCTCTGTGTGTGAGTGTGTGTGTGTGTGTGTGTGTGTATTTTTTTTTCCCCCCATTCATCTTGTAATACTTTATAATTGGCTCAGCAGCTCAGGTCCAGAAAAGAGATGACTAGGAGAAAATAACACTTTTGATTTGATCAAAGGATTTTCAAAGTGTATCCTGTCTTCTATTTTTTGAGTATATGCTACTCTCAGGGACACAAACATTTACAAAATGAGAAAAAGATCCCTCAGTGTACTCTGGAAGTGGTTGAAATGTATATGTATGTTTGTATATATTTTTGTTAGCAATCTATATGTGTGGGGATGTTGTAACTTCCTCAGTAATTACTAAGGACTATTATTCAATTTAATATTTAAAAATGGCTTGCAATTTCTTTCTTTTTGGGGGGGTGGCTGGCCGGACTGGGGATCTGAACCCTTGACCTTGATGTTATAACATGGGGCTATAATCAACTGAGCTAACCGGCCAGCCCTGGTTTAAATTTCTCAAAAAATGTGACTGATTATGTTACCTTGTTTACTATATGCAAATTCCTTTGGTCTGGACATCTCAACATTCTTAGAACATCTGGTATATGGGTTAAAACTTACCTTGAAAAGTGACTGATAGTTTATACCTTTAAGAGCCTATCCCTTTTATGGATCTTAACTATTCTTACCAAGAAACTTACATATTTTTGAGGTGGCACTTAATGGAAATAAGAGTAGAACTGTATTCACCCCCTCAAAGACCATTAAAATCAGCATTATGTAAGAGAGCCATGTCATGTTTTTGTGACACATCAAGATGTAGTCAGAAGAGTATAAGAGTATGGTTCTGCTTCTCCGTTGTGTATACAGTTAAATAAATTCCTACAAACTGTGTTCCTGCAAGATAATACTCTCTCTCAAGCTTCATTTCCTCTTGTGAAATGGACGTAGAAATCATTATCTCATGCAGTTGCTGTGAGGATTAAATAAAGGTGAATGAAAATACCTAGCATATGTCTGCCACAGTTTAGACATTTGTAGATATTATTAATTTACTTAAGAGATGTGTAGTTCTTCTTTTTGAGAGTTGAGATTATTTCTAATGATGCCAATAAAATATTTTTACTCAAGTTTTNCCCCCATTCATCTTGTAATACTTTATAATTGGCTCAGCAGCTCAGGTCCAGAAAAGAGATGACTAGGAGAAAATAACACTTTTGATTTGATCAAAGGATTTTCAAAGTGTATCCTGTCTTCTATTTTTTGAGTATATGCTACTCTCAGGGACACAAACATTTACAAAATGAGAAAAAGATCCCTCAGTGTACTCTGGAAGTGGTTGAAATGTATATGTATGTTTGTATATATTTTTGTTAGCAATCTATATGTGTGGGGATGTTGTAACTTCCTCAGTAATTACTAAGGACTATTATTCAATTTAATATTTAAAAATGGCTTGCAATTTCTTTCTTTTTGGGGGGGTGGCTGGCCGGACTGGGGATCTGAACCCTTGACCTTGATGTTATAACATGGGGCTATAATCAACTGAGCTAACCGGCCAGCCCTGGTTTAAATTTCTCAAAAAATGTGACTGATTATGTTACCTTGTTTACTATATGCAAATTCCTTTGGTCTGGACATCTCAACATTCTTAGAACATCTGGTATATGGGTTAAAACTTACCTTGAAAAGTGACTGATAGTTTATACCTTTAAGAGCCTATCCCTTTTATGGATCTTAACTATTCTTACCAAGAAACTTACATATTTTTGAGGTGGCACTTAATGGAAATAAGAGTAGAACTGTATTCACCCCCTCAAAGACCATTAAAATCAGCATTATGTAAGAGAGCCATGTCATGTTTTTGTGACACATCAAGATGTAGTCAGAAGAGTATAAGAGTATGGTTCTGCTTCTCCGTTGTGTATACAGTTAAATAAATTCCTACAAACTGTGTTCCTGCAAGATAATACTCTCTCTCAAGCTTCATTTCCTCTTGTGAAATGGACGTAGAAATCATTATCTCATGCAGTTGCTGTGAGGATTAAATAAAGGTGAATGAAAATACCTAGCATATGTCTGCCACAGTTTAGACATTTGTAGATATTATTAATTTACTTAAGAGATGTGTAGTTCTTCTTTTTGAGAATTGAGATTATTTCTAATGATGCCAATAAAATATTTTTACTCAAGTTTTCTTACCAAATAATAGAAATAGTTTCAGTTTAGACATTTGTAGATATTATTAATTTACTTAAGAGATGTGTAGTTCTTCTTTTTGAGAGTTGAGATTATTTCTAATGATGCCAATAAAATATTTTTACTCAAGTTTTCTTACCAAATAATAGAAATAGTTTCCTTTACCCCTTTATAAGCAGATTTTGAACTTACAAAGGAAAAAGCAAAAAGCAAGGAATTTTGACATGGCTCTCTTAAACAGTCTCTGTGAAGGATCAAAGATGCCTAAAAGCATCAAAGTAGGCAGGCCAAAGGGATACAGTATCAATAGTGACTCTTGGAAGAATTTGTCATTTCAGGATGTATCCAAAAAATAAAGAGGTCATGACTTGGGCCAGTGTATTTGAAAATTTTTGTCTTATACTTAGAAAAACATGTAGGAATTGAGTGGGCTGTGTTTGGGGAGGGAGATTGGGGAGATGAGAATATTGAGCTTGGGAATCCAGGAACTGGATTCTCTGGATATATTTATATCCAAAATATAAAAGTTATCTGATGAGATTACCCAATAGAACTGCTCTCTGTTATTAGGGGAGGCTGTCTTGTGGAAAGATAGTTCATGGTGGTCATGTAAATATAGTTATGACCAAAAAAGGCAGGAAGTGTTATCCTCAAAGGGATGAAAATGGTGGTTTCCTTTCTCAGTTAATATTGTGACTGTAAGATAAGACATTCTCAAGAAGTGAAAGGGTTGCCTTTACCTGTTAGTTTCAAGAATGGAATACACTTTATCCTAAGTGAGCATTGAGATCTCTAACCTCTTTTTCTTTTTTAAAATCTTACATATTAGCTACAGGACCACTTTCTATCTCCCCTTTGTTGTTAAACTTTATTGTGTTCAAATACTTTGAAATGATATAATGATATTCTTTCTCCTTAGTAAACTTTATTCTTTGAAATATGTTTAAATTAGACTAAGACAGAAGGAAATGTTTATGGGAAATTAGTTACTGGTCATCACTTCTAATTCCTGATAAATAACATGAGATCTGATACTGTGTTTGTGTCCCAGTTTTACTATTTCCTTGTTTGTTTATAAATGTGTCTGAGGGTTTTTCTTCTGTTGAAATTAAGTTTTCCTCAGAATTGCTTCACTTACAAACATCATGGAAAGAAAAAAAAAATCTTGTACTTATGCTCTAAAACTTGTATTATTTAGTACTGTTGAAGCAAAAGTCAGGATATCACAAATCTGCAAGATGTCAGAGCTAAATCCTACTCTTTCAAAATGATGGGATTATAAGTCCTATTTTATTTTTATGATTTGGCTTGTATGTTGTGAATATTTCAATGTCTCTCCCATGCCAAAACACAAAATCACACACCCATGCACTCCAATTTGTTTCTTACTTTGGTAATTTGTGACTACATATTGACACTGACCTAGAAATTTTCCTGTTGCTGTTTTGAATCTCACGTCAGTGGAGAAGAAATTGAAATCTGGTTTGCACATTTGTGTCTGTTTTTTTGTAATTGTCCAAAATCTGACACTATCCCAGAAATGCTGATTGGGAAGTTGTGAGATGGTATTGTGCCCAAGACTGATTTTAATAGTTCTAAGGAGAGAAAAAGTAGTTAGTTGCATGTTTTTCTATAACTCAAAAAGTTAAACACAATTGAACCCAACTTTATACTATACCAGTAGTAGCCTTAGCTCTGAGCTCAAATAAAATTTGTCAGGTTAAAATGATCATTATGATGATCCATTTCCACACATTCCTCATGAGACCTTGGTCAAGTCCTCAGAAGCAGCATTCTGTTCTAATATATCTTTATCAAGCTGTCTGTGTGCTCAGTAACAAGGACAGGAGAGAACACTCTGTCTCTTTAATCTTAACACCTTGCTGATTCAAAAACATTTATTTTAACAGGCATTTGAAAAGGATTTCCAAACAGCTAACATTCGTTTCTAATGATACATTTAAAGAAAAATGTCCTTTAAAACATAGCTAGAAGTTTTCTTTATTTATTAACATGATTTTAATTTATAGCAATCGTTTGTTACCTAAACACAGTAACACAGCAAAATAGGATATCAGCTTTGAACATCTCCTTTCACAAAAGGAAAAAGAATATACATTTTATGACATATTCGTTACTCAAACTCAACATAATCAGTTTCTTTTTCTTGCATGAACACAGGCTTCATGGAAAATCAAAAGCATTTAATCTAATTTCTGACCTTTTCAACTGTTCTTTGAATTACCTTAGTAAAAACAATTTTGTTGCCCTTATGTAGGATCAAGTGACATTTGTCTGGAAATTTCTTTGGTTCAGCTTATTTCTGTTCAACTTATGTCTTTATCATATAGCTATTTGCCTTCTCAACTAATTTTTAACAGAATACTCTACCTTGGGACTTTTAACACTGAACATATGCTTGTAAAATCCATATGCACTATAATAAGTAAAAAGGGAAGCCACCAGGTTTCTCAGCCTTTGCAAACAATTTAAGTAACCCAATAGATTTAGGAATTTATGAAATATACATTTCTGCCAACTGCATTTATAATACTGTATGGAATTGAGTGTCCTTGTAGCAAAAGACAATAAATACTGCTGGTATCTTTGCTTCTAATAGTGGTTAAACAGAAAACTTTGATCTTTTTTATAAACACAGCTGTTGTACTATCATTGAGCCAAATCCAGACAAGATTAGACTCTGGCCAAAATTAAGGTTAATCTTTGCAACCATCTCAAGCAAGAGCTTTCTAATACTGTTTTAGGAAATCTATTTTTGAGACAATGTATTAAGGATATAAGTCCCAGACAAC